AGCTTTGGTTGATTTTTCTTTTATGCCCAATATTGTTGTCCAAACAAGAAATCCTGCCATCTAAAGGATTTCTGAGGGTTCTAATCACATGACAGCTATATTTATAATATAATTGTGCTAAAGATTTACCAAAGTGCAAGGTTTAAGGTTGAACTTTAATTATTGAGCATATTTTGTACACAACAAAATGCTGGAGCATGCGCAGACATGCACACACATCACCGGGGCAACAACGATAAGTGACCTTCGTTGAAACCCTCCTAATGTAATGACCTGCAGTTTACACATCCAGTCCACAAACATGTGCAACTGAATTACCATGGAAACATCCAGAGGAAGAATGCTCCACTGTTCTGGCTGTGTTCACAGACTAATAACACTGTGTAAAGCCCCACTTCAAATACTTTAACCATAAAAAAGGAGCAGTGCAAACGCAACAGACATACAGTTTTGGAAATAAATTAACCACTTAGGATTTCACCCTTGAGTAGAAGTGCTGACGTTTAGAGTTTGAATTTGTATGGTTCAAATCTGCACTTTGATTTTGTGAAGTTTGTAAACCAACAACTCTCCTGCAGCATAGTCCATAGACCAGATTTACATAATTAATGTGGACAGGCTTTAATAATGTCAAAGGTCATTTGTGCCATTAAAAAAAATCTCGGATTGCCTCTGTGGACTTTTTGAATTCGCTTTGAAATAGTATCTTAACATTAAAATCACAATGTAATTCAGAAATAAAAAGCACTTGAAGCTGTTACTTCAAATAAAAATGACTTTATGGTCTAAATAATAACAATATAAACACTCTGAACCCTTACTTTAAATGTAATTAAGGTTTGACATCAGAATTTATTTCTTAGTTCTTGCAAACTAATACAACAAATCTAATAAAAATATATTTCTGTATTCATAGATCAGGAAACTATGGAGAAGAATTCGAATTCTTGGCATATAAAATATATTTTTCTAATTATCTACATAGTTGGGGCTGGAAGTGGTTGAAGCGCAATGAAGCACTAAAGAGAGTATCATTGTAGAAAAATAAATTATCATTCTTTATTGTCAAAACAGTCTGGTTTTCTTTTCTTGCCATTATCAAAATGAACTTTATTTGCAAGTTTGTTTACACACATACAGAAACAACGTGTGTCGGTCTCAAAGGGAGTGGGGAGGGGTTAGAAAAGAGGGGTTTTTCATGTGCTGGCACGCGCACACATCGTCAGTTTTTATTAAATGATGAATAAATGAAATGGACGGAGTTAAGGCTGGTGCCCGAGGCAGTGTGCGCACGGCTGTTGCACCGTGGTAACAGTCTAGTTTTACACAGAAGTCAAAGATGAGACGAATGGAAGCAGAAAAGCCCAGGGTGTGATTGGAAGAATGGATGAATATGGGCACAGAACAAAAACTAATACTGACTACAATGTCCTATTCAGACCTATTCAGAAAGCCACAGCATCATGACAGTAAAATGTAAAACCTTCGCCTCAGTTGAAGAGCATTTGTGTTTGTGCAAGCTGTGGACAGAGTTACTGTAAAACATTTTAAAAAGACTATAATTCAAGTCAATGCCTAAATACTAATTTTATCAGCAGGGATGCCGCCCCTTGTCACATTTAAATCATTTAATAAAATACTTTAAATGGTTTTTGAGTCAAAAAGACCCAGCAGGTGATGCCAATGCAAATCAAAGGATAGGTTAGCAGGATTAGCTTAACTTAGCCTTGGAACCTCAGCTTGTAAAACAAATAATTTCTTAATAAAATGAAGTTGGAGTTGTAGCTAAGTAATTCAAAATTATTTGAAGTGGGGCTAAGAGTGGAAAGTTTAAAATCCATGGTTTATAAAAACAATCTGTTGCTCTAAAGGTGCGCTAGAGAACAAAGCTCTGTACTTTGGTGTTTAGCCAGATGGCCTCTTTATTACTATGGCTGACCTTCAGTAACTAAGAGCTTTAAAGTCTCTTATATCGATTGGTTAATTACTAGTAAATTCCTTCAAAGTTAAACATGTACGTTTTGTTGTTTTTTGAGGATTCAGAACTATTTAAAATAATCAAGTTATTCAGGCTGAAATAAGTCAGGGAACAGGTCAACGATAACTACAGCCAGCACTGCCTGCAGGGATGCAGGGAGTTAATGTACATAAGGATGTAGGTGTTGATGATAGGAACCAATGCCTGGTTGGTGATCAGTTCTGGGAGCAGTACTTCCAGAAACACACTGTTAAAGACACAAAAAAGAAGAACTTTGTTAAAAACGTGCAAGTGGCTTTTCTTTGGGGAAAGTGGACACCAAGAAAATTAAAGAATAGCAACAGATGACGTGTCGCCTTTACCTCTTTTGTTTGGCTTTCTGTTCTGCGGTGGGACGGACTTCTTGAAGTTGCGACCAGTCAAACTGGGGCCGATGGCATCTGTGCTAACTCTGGGCTCTGTGCTGTTAGCAACTGCAGGAATTGCAGTGGTTGTTCTGTCCCCTCCATTAGAAGGGGGCACCTTTACCTGTGTCAGAAGCAGAAAAAGAAAACATTACAGCAGTAGAAAAGTTGCTGAAGATAATAATAATAATAATAATGCAATAAAACATTTAAATATTATTGGTGACACAAAATCAATAAAGTTCATATTCAGTTTTGATCACAAAACCTTCAATGGTTGAATTGAGTTAAACTGTGTGAATATGAATAAAGAATGAGTTGAAATGTTTGCTCTAACTACAGGGAAGCCCAACCTCATTCACTGACAGCCAGAAACTTTCTATCTCCAAGT